ACAATTTGAAAATTCAACAGTTTTATGCACTTAGACAGGAGTAATTTTTTTTTTATTTTTATTTTTCCAACTATTCTGCTGATTTCTTATTTTTCCATAGTACGATTGCTTCGTCAAGTTCACTGATGTGTTACAGCCAAAATTAACCTATAAATTATCTCTTTCAATGAATATTCAGAATAAAACTGAGATTATTGTAACTTTACAATAAGATTAATAATTTAATTCACTATGGAACTGTGTTTGATTAAAAGCATAAAAATAAATAAATGGTGTTGTGCGTTATTTTGTAATCAGATCAGAAAAATAGAGTCTAAGATTCTTTAATATGTCAACCAACTGCCTTTCTATACATTTGTATTTTTTTCCTCGTATCACATCATTCATCATCATCTGCAAACTCGAGAATAAAATTTATACAGTTACTACTAAAACATCTGTTTGTTTTATTGGATTTATGATGCTTGTATAATAACAGTCTTGTGGATAAATATCTGACTCTTATAACACTTTATAACGATATCAGCATCATCAGAAACTAAATTTCTTGGCTACAGGCAAACTGAGATGTTTGTTTGATTGCTTTCAAAATCAATAGTTAGTTTGTTTTTTTCCAAAATATAGGCCCCCTTTATTTTTACCCAGTTTCAAATACTTTAATTTTTTTGCCAGTATACCAAAGTTTAAAAAACGTAGAGAGTTTTCATTTTCTGACTTGTTTCTTTCTTGAACATCCAACAGATACATAACAGATTTGTCTCTAGGATCATAATATTCAATTTCTAGAGTTTTTAGTTAAAAAAATTATAAAAATAATATCATGCGCGTCAAAGGGTTAAGTTGCTTCCACGAAAAATTCAAAAAGTTCCTTTTTCTTATGTCATATACAGTTGACTTTCCAATGCCATACTCCTTGTATAATTTTGAGACGGATATGCCTTTATCCATTTTTTGCAGCAATTCCACGTAGCTTTTTGTATCATAATTATACTTACAAATTAATTCTGCATTAAACAGATTATAACAAAGGACTGAAAAGCTATTTGCCTAAGAGGGGGGATGCCTTTGTGGAATGACTTATTATATAAAAAATTCCTCACTTCCATGTTACACATGCAAAAAACCACAAAAACTCTCATGCAATCAATCAGTCTACTTGCTGGATTTGAAATTGGGTTGAACTTCCAACGTTCCTCAATTTTACCAACTGCCTATTGTGAGCCACTTCTGTGACAGGAATATACTGTTAATACACATTAAATATGAGTCCTCACCAGTGGGTTGGTTGCAGCCACTGAAAGCTGGTAGTTCAACCCAGGTTTGAACTCACTCAAATAGGCTAGCTGCATGGTTGGTTTTCCCCATGAAACAAGAATATGAGGTAGTTTCCCTTAGGAAATTCTCTATGAAGGTATCCTTCCCTTTAGGCATATAACCTTGTGTACTTTACCATATTCAAATAATCTAACCTGACCTTAAATTTGAATGTAATGTTCACAGTTGTGGTGAATCAAACATTATAAAGTATTTTTTAAAATTTTATTGAACTATAGAGAAAATTACTCATTATCTGTAATATGTGTTATTGATTGTTTTGCATTACTAGATATCCATACAGTATATGGTCATTTGGTCTTTGACAGTAGTAACTGTATTAACTCATTTGCATCAATGGAAAAAAACATTGTATCTATTTCAATGATCCATCCATTGCCACCTGTTTTTCTATAGTCTCCCTTTTCTACATAAGACCCATTATACTTCTAAGTTTTTGTGCTTTTGTTCTTTCTATATACACAGTCATTTGCTTATATTTAAGGAAAGATCAGAGATCAGCATAAACTCTGTATCAAAATTCCAAAATCAGAAAGAAGAAAGAGGCGCATGATGTCTTTAAAGCAAGCCTCATTGCACTCTATGCGTGCAGAAAGCTAAATCTGAGATTTTGCCGAAAACAATGAAAACTGCACTATGCTGTCTGTAGGCTAAAACATTAAAATTCCATATACTATAAGAGGGATCATAATCTGCAATCATGCTAGTGAAAATGCCCGGAGAAGTGGAAAACTGTCTAGAGAATGCTACACACATACCTGGGTTCAACGTAATGCCTGGGTAAATATTTTTTGGCGACATCACAGGTTGCCACACAAATGCTTTTTCATGACCTAGTGTGTTGTTTCACCATTATATTCTCATGGCTTATCGGTGGGGGCATACCAAAAATAATGAAGAACTATAAATTTTCAAGGTCCTAACTACATAATGTAGAGTTTTATGAAATTAACTCAAATATATGTTGTACACTTCTAAATTTAAAAAAGAAATTAAAAGACATTAATAATTGGAGGACATAAAAATCAAAACATACTGATAAGGCAACCAAACCAACTGAAATATAAATGGAACCTTAATTTTAAAAATGTTATGATACTTAGTACTGCAGCTTCCATTTTTTGAAACATCAAGCTGACATCAGAACTATTGTCAAGTTCAAGTTTACTTCTTATGCACACTTTGTAGCTGCCATGTTTCCTAGATTGCTTTTAATATGGCATAAGAAGTATTCCAAGGTATCAAAGATTTTCACCACATGAACACTGCAAAGTAAGATTCATGATGAAAGTGAAACTTGCCTCTTCAATTTTTATTCCATCACTTACTAGAATGCTATAGTCATTCCATATTTTATGTATATGCAGCTGTTGTTAGCTCAACAAAATGAAATTTATGGTCTACAGTAAAATGTCTGTAAGCTGCTTTGTACAGTTCCTGTCTTTCATAAGCTCAATGGAAGTTTGAATAAACTGTCGTTCCCTCTTGTAGATGGTCCACAATTTTTGCCATGATTATGGATGGCTCTCTATTTAGAAACTGAGCTATAACTCTATTTCAGTTTTCTAGCATAACTTGTCAATGAATCATGCCAGCTTTGGTTTTTTTACTGTATGAACAGATTTTTGTCTATGTTCACAATTTTTTCGGGGCCACCTATTCACATATTTGGTTGTTGGATTATATGCAGAGAACACATTTCTCTCATAAAACTGTTTCAGTGAATAGTCACATTTTTGTAGTGTTTCTTTCGTCTTAATAATAATGATAAATTGTTACACTGTTACAAACAGTATTTTGAAACTACTGAAAGAGTTGTTTATATGCTTTTCTATCATTTGCAAATTTTCAGAAAAGAGGATTTAAAAATTAAACTAGTATTTCAATGGTGTCTTAAGAAATATAGAACTATATAAACTTACGCAATCTGAAATCAGCGCGTACGCTAGATTTGGCGTGCTGTTTAAATGGGCACATTTGCTAGATTTGCCGCTTTTGTGCATACATTTTCACTGCAATTTTCTTACTGCCCTCAAAACAGAATAGTACCAAAGTTTCTAATGTCGCAAGAAGTAGTACAAGAAAATAATGGAGTAGAAGAAAAGGGGAAAGTGCAGAATCGCCCACTGCTTGGTGTGTTTTTAAGAATTGCACATACTCGGTATCCATGTACACATCGACCTATTTTCACTTTAAAAACATCCCAGAATTGCACAAAAATGGCACTGTGCACTCCCTTGACTTTATCCATGTACACTCACTTTCAAAGAAAATTGACAAAACTCCGATTACTTTTGTAAAAAGCGCCAAACAAATAAGTGGGCGGTTCTGAACTTTTCGCAAAATCACAGATATAAATTTCAGTAGAACATGTTTGTCAAAGTAGCAAATTTGTATAATATTGCAAGCTCTGGCAGCAGTGATCTAATGTTAGGACAACAACACTTATTCCTAAAATTTAAAAAAAACTTGGTTGTATTGACTAAAGTTCCAAACGCTTACTTTCTATAAAAGTGTTGTTTGTTTTTCAGTACATGTTCCTTCAAAACATTCTTTTTCACTTCAGATAAAAATTAGTAACTTTCTGTGTATTTCTTACATTTCTTAATAAATTAAATGAATAAATAAAATTAACTTTTAATGTTAGGGAGTAGCTACAGATTTTTCTGGTTAAGCTACATAAATAATGAACTCAGCAATATAAAAAGATTAATGTCAAATATACATTAAGGGCATTCTAAGCTCTTGAAAAGAATTCAGATAGCTAGCTCTTCTAGCGGTTCTTAAATGGTTTCATATAATTAATAGCACAGACTAATCTAGATTCAGTAGACCAATAACAACAAATTAACTATCTTTTGTTCAAAAACGGGAATAACTGATTGATATATCAAAATAAAAAGTTTTTTAGAATTTATTGTATATTAATCACAGTTATGATACAATAAAATTAGTTATTATCTCAAATTCAATAATAAATGGAAAACTTGTGAATATGCTAAAGAATAATTTTATTACACCTTCTTCCCGTCCCCCCCCCCAAAAAAAAGAGACAAAAAAGAAAAAATTCAGACTGAAATCGATCATAAAACATTTATAAACAAACGGCAGCTAAATTTTCAGAACAATTTTCTGTGATTATTAGGTATGTTCTCATTGTAATATGCACAAAGTATGACTAAAGCATAATATAATAACTTCGTGATATATATTTAACATAACCATACAGAAAATTTAAAACTACCTCATTACTTTTGCAAACATTAGTTTATGTTAAACGGATAGTTTATGTTTTTTTAAATAATTTTGTATATTACTATGACAAGCTTAATATAAAGAAAATTTTAACACAGTATATGCTGAATATTCATGTATTTGGTATGCAGAAATGTGTAAGTTCATGTAACTGGTTTGCACATTATTCTATATAAGTTTACTTCCTGTAGTCCAATAAATGTATCAATTGCAGCAGTCGAGTTTCTATTAATGATTTCAGAATGCCAATAATTGCTAACGAATATAAATTTTTCAAAATAAATTAAGTAAAAAAGACCCTGCAACGGTAAATCAGCAAATTTTCCAATGTAAAAGGTTACTTTAAATAACTTTTAGAAAGCTGCTTACGTAAAATTCATGTGTTTGAAAATACGGCTTATTACTCTTACCTTAATATTAAAGAACCTTGCTCTTACCTGATATTTCAGGCAATGAAAACAAGTGTCATGTTTACCGACATTTGATACGTGCACTAATTTATGACGATGACAAAATAAATTGAATGTGGCAAGTGTTTAAAATGCGTTGACAGTCATACAGCATAGAAAGATATGCATTCTAAACATCTGACCGAGAACATAAGCGCACACGATTCCAAATTTTATGTCAACAATTTACGGGAATTCGTCGTTGACAGTATCTCTTCAAAGAAGAGGGGGAGAAATGGGAGGAGTTACGAGATTCTGGGTTGTATGAAGATCTACTAATAACTTTCTCGCCAAGTTATTTGGCGTAATCGGCTCATTCTTGTATCTGGAACTGTAGTAGAAGAATGTCGTGTATACTATATACTTCAGTATGCTGTAATTCTCCCATAAATTTTTAATACCTTAGAAGCACTGTGAAGATCTACTAATAACTTTCTCGCCAAGTTATTTGGCGTAATCGGCTCATTCTTGTATCTGGAACTGTAGTAGAAGAATGGCGTGTATGCTATATACTTCAGAATGCTGTAATTCTCCCATAAATTTTGGTAACCCGATAAATTCGATGTCGGAGGTAGCAACCTGGTTTTACAAGCGCTTAGAAATAGAAATTGAGTAGCGTCTCCGTTCTGCGGGGCTAACGCTTCACGCATGCGCAGAGATATGCTTCGCTAGCATAATAGGCTGCATCTGTTATGCACTCACGGAGTATAATCTTCATAAGATTGGCTTAAATGCTTAAATGCTAATTGCTTATGCTTATATTACCCCAGTTGGGCTTTAATAAGCTATATTGATCTAATCCCCTGAGGACAATCAGAATGTCAACTATCAGCTAGTTCCCAGCCAGGAAATCGAGCGGGTAAGGAAAAGAGGGCCCATCGGCCATAGTGACAAAGTCCAATCATCAAAGTAACTTAACTCTTACCCCTGAGACAAGAGTAATAATCACGATAAGATTGGCGATTAATGTTGTTCCGTTAAATATTGTCACGCAAGAGTTAACCCTGACTTATTGGCTTGCCTGTGTGTTATATTTAGTGTGATTGTTATTACTGTGATTATTATGGAAGAAACTTTTTTGTGTTCGGAACAGTTGCTCACAAGGCTCTCTTCACAAGGTTCTCTTAGATATGAAATCTCATTTCGAACGGAGTTTTAATTAGGTACTGTGGGAAAATGAAAAGGCAAAATAAATTTTTTTAACGAATTAAAAGAGAAGCAAAAAGCTTGTTTTATTGTAAATCAACACTGGAACCAGGATTTTTAGGTCTCAAATGTGTTTATATTGCGCCTTAAGATAATATTTAATAATTAAAAAGTTACAGTTCCTGAATCTTTCTCTTTGCCCTTGGTCTCTTGGGTAAAGACCCAGGAACTTGCAAACTTAATATACGAAAGTCCTATAAAACAACAGAGATAAGGCAATCCAAAGTTTTAAAATCCTAATTAACATTGATTTTTTATGAAATTTTATAATTTGTTTATTTTTAATTTCGAAAACTATAAATAGGTAATGAATACAGGATTTTTATTATTATAAATATCAGCTTTATTTCAGAAAGAAATAATTTTGTTTCTGTCTGCAGATATGCTATCAAAATCTGATTTGAAAAGAATGTAACCAACGAAGACACTAGTAATCTATAACTAAATCACTCTGATACTAACACAGGTTTATTCTCGCATTTAGCAATGTAACCAGCACTGACTGAGTAGTAGATCAAGGATCAAGGAAGTTAATTTACGGAGGGCGCTAGGATAAAAATAATTACATCAAAAGAGGGGTTCATCTAATAAGGACAAATTTTGAAGCCTAAATTCTAAAAAATAAAAGCTTTTCAGATAATGCCTTCCGCATGAGAAAAAGATAAAAACTCGTAAAAGGTCTTTTTAATTAAATTTCGTGTCTAAAAAGGGCCAGAATTCAATTACGATAGGGCAGTCATCATTCATAAAATTTTGAAAAGAGTAATAAAAGGTGAAATACATTTCCTTGATTCTTGATATCAACAGTTAAATGAAATCCTTAGAACAAGCAGTCCGGATGGAAGGAGCTAGCGCGGGTTAAATGAACTTACACCCACTCGGAGTAGCTGGCGAACTGGGCGGAGGGGGACCCGTTAAGGCCCGTCTACACGTACCGGTTTTATCGGCCGACTTTCAAGCAGAGGAACAATTTTCAGGATGTGCGCATGCGCTAAAAATCTGTCATGTTCTCTGCGAGCTAGTGTTTCACCGCTCACTAGCCGACGATAAAATCGGCGACTCTAGCCAATTAGATTGCTTCCAGAGATCACGTGCTCTTCTCTCTCATTTTGGAATAAATAATAAACATGTTGGAGCGAAAATCAAATTTTCCAAGTGATTGATTTTTATAGAGAACATGTTGTGTTGTGGGACACAAATAACATAAATTATAAAAATAAAAAGTTAAAAGATTCCCTTATTTTGGTAAGTTCGTTACTTTATAAATATGTAATCAAATATTTTTTTATTCGTGATGAAAATTATTTTATGTAGGTATAATTATCTTGTTGAAAGTAAAAATTGCAGAAAAATCTAGTTTTGTGTTAATTGATGTAAACAGATTACAGCTCAATTTAATACAATACTGCTCAATTTTACTAGCTGATTAACTGATATAGCAATATGATTACAGTTTTCATGCCGATAGTATTTTTTAATATTCAGTATGATATGCTATTTAAGATTTTGCATATTTATATTTCTTATTTGAAATTTTTGTATTGAAATTACACTATTCCTTTCTTCTATAGTAATCTTTATTCTTTATTAGTACTTTTTACTCATATTGTTACGGTTTTCATAACATTATTGTCTATTTATTTAATAGTAAAGGTTATCATTTAAAGCACAGTAGTTATTTACTTTTTCTGAAGCATGGTTATTTTAACATTTCAGGACTTAAGCACACAAATATGCGTGCCAGAAAATGAAATTTAAAAAAAAAAAATGGAGTAATCTGCGTACTCAATTTACGAAGGAGAAACATAAAGAAAAAAATATATATATACATCTGGTGCAAGCACTGCAATGCAGTACAAATCGACATGGCAGTTTTATACATCGTTACAATTCTTAAGTGATGCTGTGTCCATTAGGAATACTGTGACTTCTTTGGTAAGCCATTACTTTTTAAATTTATATAATTTGACTTATAAAGTAAATAATTTCCCTTTACTATTTAAAAATTTATAGAATTGTTTTTAATATAGGCAAAACTTTAAAAGTTTTTGTGATAAATAAAATAATATTGTTATACATACTTAGCTGTGTAAATTATATTAGCCAAATCTTCAAGCTCATGCAGCAGATGGGTCATCTGCAAAAGCTCACACTTCAAGCAATTTCTATATCTTATGTAAAAAAGTATTATTTATTTATCCTTTTTATACAGTTCAGTTTATTCGAAAAGGTCCCCATTATGTTTAAAGCCAGTTTTTTTATCCTTTAGGCAGATAGCCCTAGTGTGCTTTGCCATCTTTTACAACTATGTGCTATTTAATTTCTTAAATGAAATCTTTATATTTAAAGACTATTCTTAAGCTCATTTACTTAAAAATAATCCCATTTCCCATTAAAGTATAGGTGCAATACCCATTAAAGTATAGGTAAAAGTGGATAGGACCAGGGCTTAATTTCTAAAATCAGAAGTGTCAGAGTTAGTAGAAGTTATATTTTGAATTTATATGAAGAACTAATCTTTTTTCCAATGAATGATATTCTATTGATAATTTCCAAAAAAGCTGAGCAGTAAAACTGCTAAATAACTGGTAATTCGACCAGTGTTCGAATGCCAGCAAATAAGCTGACTGTAAGGTTGGTTTTTGTTTCTTCCTATGCAAAACATGGATACGAGCCATTTTCCCCTAAAATTCTTCTATGAAGCATCCCTCTCTATAGGCAGATAGTCCTTGAATTGCATTGTCTTAATCAATTAGTCTAACATCCAGAAAAGCATATGTAATTTATTTTGAAATGAGAGTTAAGGTACTTAAATTTCTCTTTGTAAGTCTATTTTGGTACTTATGTATTAACACAACCACCTTGTCACATATTTGGTGGCCTTTATAAATGAAAAGGTAAAAATTACTTACTGGTACAAGTTAGTGGTTTTTATGACTTTTTTTTAAAAAACCATTCCCAAATATCTGATAGTAAGTCAGCAAAGTATTATCGACCTATCGAAAAAAGAAATCTAAATATGAATTTTAATTATTAAGTAAAAATTATATGATACATTAAAAAATAGGTTCTTACATGTTATCACAAGCATTTTAGTACAAGCTCTTTTAAATTTCCAGAATGTGCTAAAATCTGTCGACCATGAGCATAACAATACTTTAGGCAACCATGCTCATAAACATTCCTTCAGTCAAGCAACATTACCCTCATTCTTTTTCATTTATAAAAATTTGCCAAACTTGAGGTGGTTACGCTAATATGTTAAGTACTAAAAAATAAAACACTTACGTATTTCCAAATCCTTCTCTAACTTTTAGCGTTATTCTATTCTTCATGTACACAGGGATCTGTTTTCACTTAAAAAAACCAATAAGTTGCATAACCTTGTACAGCACATCAACTCTTTACCAAACACATCTCAATACTACTTGCGTTAACGGTTTTGTGACAAAATACTATATTCTGCAGAATTTTTACTGCAGTTTCTCCCATTGCTGGCAGATTCCACAAGTGATATTTTAAAATTAAGGTAAAGGTTCCCAACTCCCCCCCAAAAAAATTACAATGTCTGTCAAAATCATTAGAATTCCAAACACAACAATTAAAACATTGCTTGACTGAAGGATTTTTATGAACAGGGTTGCCTGTGAAATTTTTATGTGCAGAGTATGGCAATTTTTATTAAGGTGGTTGAGATAATATGTGACTACCTCTAATTTTAAAATATTAATAGAGAAACATGAATTCTTATTGCATTTTAAGTAATTATTACTATCAAAATCTTACTCATATTGTTCAAGTTTTTACAAGTAAATGAAGTCCAACCCCGCTTCACATTGAAAAGTTATAAAAAATATGGGATGTACATGCACAGATACTGTTCTTTTAAAAACACTCAAATTATTTCTTTTTACTGTAGTAATTATTAGCTTTGCTTTCTTCTCAGTTTTATATATATATATATATATATATATATATACCATTTTCAATGATAAACTTATATTCACAGCTAAATCAGACATAAGTTAGTCAATATT